CACTGCACACATGCCCGCAGCTTCCCCCAAATCGGTTGTGATGTTACAGAGTAACAGACAGTTTGCATATACCATTATTTATAGACCCATTTCATTTGTGGCTCACAACAAACAAATAACAATTACTAATTGAGAATTTATAAATGACCCGTGAGGTGGGCATTATTAACCACATTCAACAGATTAAAAACCTGAGAAAGGAACTTGACAAAGTACTCGGACTAAAAATAAAAATAAAAAATAAAAAAAATAAAAAGAATTTGTGCAGCATGATTATTTGAAGCCAGGTTAGTTTGACCACAAAGCACTGTTATTAGTTCATATGCTGTTTTTCCATCTGGCCATCTATCCAGTAAACACTTACTATACTTGTGTATGCCAGGCAGTGATTTAGGCATTAGGAGTACAATTTAGAACAAAGCAGACAACCCTGGCCATGTGGCTCAGTTGATGGGGACATGGTCCCATATGCCCAAAGCACCAAAAGGTTGCAGGTTTGATTCCCAGTCAGGACATATTCCTAGGTTGAGGGTTTGATCCCTGTCAGGGTATGTGCAGGAGGCAGCAAATCAATATTTCTTTTTCTCCTGTCCTCTCTAAAAACAATTAAAGGTTATCCTCTGGTGAAGATTTAAAAAAAAAGAAAAAACAGATAAAAACACTCTCTTTATGTAGTTTATATTTAGTTGGGGGAGACAGACAATCAACACAATATATTAGATGGTGATCAATGCAATGGAGAAAAATAAGCCAGGAAAGAGGCATGGTGGGGTTGAGAATTGCAGTTTTAAATGTGATGGCCACTGAAGGACTTGCCGAGCGTTTGCATGCTTGGAAAAGGTGTTGGGTGCAGGGCACAGGAGGCCCTGGCAGAGGGCGCCTGGTGTGTGAAGCAGGCACCACCAGGGCCAGAGCTGAGTGAGAGTGGTGGGAGATGGAGTGAATGATCCAACTTCTGAATGGATTAGCATGATCATTCTGGCTGCTTTGATGAGAATTATGATATGGGAACAGGGGAGCAGCAGGGAGAACAGTAAGGCATTCAACAACTTGAGGTGAATGAGGCTTGAGTAGTTGGTGAGTGGTGAGAAGTGGCTGGATTCTGGACACATTCTGAAGGGAGAGTAAGGATTTGCTGATGAGTTGGACCTGGGATGTGAAAGGCAGAAGAAAAAGAATGACCTCTAAAGAGATAAAATTTAAACTTACTCCCATTTCACAGATGGGAAAAGTGAGGTTGGAAAAGGATAAGTGACTTGCCCAAGATCATTTTGCTGGAAAGTTCATAAAGCTAGGATGATTTCGCAGGTATCCAGTCAGAATTCCATAGCCTTTCCCTGTGCACATCGCCTCTCTCCCACCCTGGGCCTCCTGCCACCGGCCTTCCCCCAGTCTTAGAACCCTCGGTTTCTTCAGTGCTCAGCGGATTACTAATCTGTGTGGAAGTATTCACTGTTGTAATCATTGGAAGCACCAGCCCAAGCCATTTTTCTAAGTGTTTATAATAGCAACTCAGAGATCATTCAATATGTGAAGTCCAAATCTGTTTCCAAAGAACTTTATTCCAGTACCTCCTGTAAAGGTTTGGCCTGTTTTTCAGTGGTATCCTTTTTTCATTAAACTTGTAAATTGCGGATTTGTACATCATCACTGCTGGCTTTTATTCTCCTTGACTGATTATCACAGCAATAGCCAGATCCAATGAAAAGGAAATCTCCTTAGGAAAACATGGTTCAGTGGGTCTCTGAGGGAGAAAGTGCCGTTTTCAGGGCTTTGCTGTGGGTAAGAGGCCCAGATGCCTCCATTTTTCTGAGCTTTTCTTCTTTGGGCCAGCTGCAGCTGACACGTCATGAGGAGCCATGCGGCTGGAGCCAGGCTGTGTCGATCAGTGCTTGCTAAAGCTGGAGGTTCCTACCACTCTGGGCCATACAGCCCAAGGGGTTGTGTGTACCCTCCTCTCCCAGGTCCATTGGGACACTTCTGTTGTCGACCTGCCTCATTGCAGGATGATAATCTGGGCAGCTGCTCCAATGACTCCGGATAGATAAGACTCAACTTCAGTGTTATCTCCTCTGTAGTCTAAGACAGACTTGTTTGTCTTTGAAAAACTTTATAATTTGCTTCTTTAACACCTTCTCCCACCCTCACCCAAACACACACTAGGAAAGTGCACTAGACCAGGTGGCCCTGTGTCCTCTGCCAGCAAGCACCCTCCACAGCATAGGGGGTAGAAGGCACTGTGCCTTGTTCAGGCTCACACGCCCTTCTCAGACAGGGCGGCCTAAATTTCTCCTCAGATTGCTACCCAAAACCTCCATCGCTGACAACAGGAGCACCTAGCTCTGTAGTCCTGAGGGAAGTCCCCTGAGAGAGGGTCCTGGCGTGTGCATCAGCCCCTATCAGGGATGGACATGTGCACACACACACACATATAACAGCTGGCTCTGTTGCCCTTCTGCCTGCAGTCCCCTCACCTGGCCCATTAGCAGTGCTGGGGGCCAGGTGCTGCCTCTCTCAGTGTGTCAGCAGTCAAGCTGGCGTCTAGAAGGCAGTGCCAGGTGTCTGCAGAGCTTTTATCTGCTTCTTGGCTTTATGGTCAAGTTCAGGAACATTTGTTTGCTACAATTTCTTCCTCCCTCCCTCAGGCAGCTCACTTTCACTTTTACCTCTCAGATACAGGCCCTGCTCTTTCCTGAGTGAGATGGGCTGGGAGCAGGGAGGAGAGAGTGGGGTGCAGGAGGGTGCCAGGCACCATGTGGTCTGAGCCCAGCACCCTCCTGTCCTCCACCTCCGCTGCTTAGTCACCAGCACATCCCAAATTCACTGACTGCCCAATATCCAGACCATCCTCACTGTAAACAGACCTTCCGTCAGCCTAACTGGGACACAGACATGCGAATGGTAGGCTGTGCTTCACCGTTGGAGCTGCTGCAGAAGGAAGGACTGGGGAGCAGCTCTGAGGGGAGTGACTGCAGCTGGGGTGTGGGGTTTCCAGGTGCAGAGGAGCACCCCAGGCTGTGGGAAAGCACATGTAAGGCATGGGCCCTTGTAGAGACCTGGCTTGGGCATTGCCAAGAAGTGTTCTGTCCAGAGCGTGGGCCCAGAGGCCGGCCACTAGGAAAGAGTGCGTCCAGCTTGTGGACTGCGCTGGCCGTCTTCCTTCCACCATTGCACTTTGTGTGCTAAGCGTGTCTCTTGACATCATCGTTTGTCTGTCTGTTCAGCGCTAAAAATGCATTTATGGAGCTTGTTTTCACGTTTATTACCCTCCATTGTTGCAATTCTTTTTCAATTTGCTGTAGGAATTCCAATAAGCATTCTAGTAAGAATTCTAGTCTCTGTTTACAAAGCGTATTGCTTTAAAAAAGTTGTCCACAATAGCATAGCTGAAGTGATTGGGAGGGAGGAGAGCTGTGAGGGCCTGGGACGCAGAGCTCGGGGCATGGACAGGGCTGGCTGCGCATGCTGAGCAACTGAAATGTGGCCGATCCAGATGGGCTGGGCTGAAAATGTAAAATGTCCATCTAGTTTTGAAGGCTTAGTACAAAATAAACAATAAAAAAGATACCATTAAAAAAAAGAAAGTTGTTCTGCCTTGGCCGTTGTAGCTCAGTTGGTTGGAGCATCATCCCATATGAAAAAGTCACAGGTTGGACTCCAGTCAGGGCACGTACTATGTTGTGGGTTCGATCCCCTGTGAGGTGCCTACATGAGGTAGCCAGTTGATGTTTCTCTCTCTTCCTCTCTCTCTTAAATCAATAAGAACATATTCTCGGGTGAGGATTTTAAAAATAATTACTTTTAAAGAAAGTTGTTCTGTTTAGAAAGTAGACCTGTTATTAGAAATTCAGAATCGTAAGTCCTTGATGAAAACAAAGGCAGACAGCCCCCTCTCACTGCTCAACCTGCCCGTCGTGTTCTGAGTTTTATTTCCCATGGCCATTTCGGATCCGGCCTCTGCCCCACCAGCCCTGCTCCCGCCACGCTCGCTGCCATCACCACAATAACTAACTCTCTTTATTGAGTTTGCTAGGAGCCTGACACACATAATCTCACTTGATTCTCTAAAAAGAAAGAAAATACTTTTTACAACAGAATGTAAAGTTCAGAGATATTAAATTGTGTGGTTAGGGCCGCCTGCCTGCAGAGGGGCAGGGCCAGAGTTCAAACCCGGCCCTGTGACTCTAAACCCCTCACTCCCATACTCAGCCTGAAAGAGCAGCCCATGGCCGCCAGCACTGGCTTTTGAAGCCCGACAGGCAGTGTGCTCCCAGATTGCTCTTCCAGGCTCATCTCTCGGTAGATGTGCTGCTGGTGCATCAGATCTGGCCACGTTTCGTTCCATGAAACCTTTCCTGTCCCCTTCACCAGGATGTTCTGTTATTGTTTAAATCCCCTTTGCTTGATGACAGGTTAGCCTTGGTGAGAATAAGCCACTGTCCCAAGAAAGAAAATCTGAATACCAAGGTGGTTAATCTAAAACATTATACCCATCGTTAAAAGGTCTTTCTCTTTTTTTGGTAAATTCCCAATTCTGATAGTGTGAGTTCCCATGTGAAAAAATAGTAAAAATGGCTACATGTTTTCACTTACTTATATACTACTGGGACCATTTGGTGTTAGTAGTGCTACTGCCTTACAGGTAAAAAATGGAAACAAAATGCTTTTTAAAAAAATCATTATATTTTTCATTTCTTTTACTTCTCAAGCTTTATCAACATGTTGCTTAGAAACACTATCTATATTTCCAGCACAGATTTCTTACTAAATCACACCTAGTTCATGCAGTATCATAGCTCATGAAATAACACGATGTTAACATTGGCTATGTTCTTTGAATTGTTCCCCTTCCTATTTAATGTGTCACTTAAACCCAGCCCTTTTTAGCATCAACTGCTACTTCTGGATTAAATGGATCAATAGAAACTTTCTAATGGTTTTGTCATTTTAAAATGTTTGTTAGCTGTGTCTTTTAAACCGTGCCATCACTTTTTTTAAAGTTTCTTCAGATGGCGGTACTGAGTCCTGTGCCTTAGTGGACGACAACGGCAGCGAGGAGGACTACAGCTATGAAGACCTCTGTCAGGCCAACCCCAGATACCTGCAGCCTGGCGGGGAGCAGCTGGCCATCAACGAGGTACTGGGATCCCACACGTGACCAGTGGTGGACACTTGATACCAGGGCCAGCATCACTTCAGACTTTGCTCACTGATTATTTTTTTTTAAATATATTTTATTGATTTTTTTACAGAGAGGAAGGGAGAGGCATAGAGAATTAGAAACATCAATGAGAGAGAAACATCAATCAGCTACCTCCTGCACACCCCCTACTGGGGATGTGCCCGAAACCAAGGTACATGCCCTTGGCTGGAATCGAACCTGGGACCCTTCAGTCTGCAGGCCGATGTTCTATCCACTGAGCAAAACTGGTTAGGGCTGATTATTTCTTATTGAATGTTCAAAAATCTAGAACTTTGACTAAATAGTTTCTGGCATTTTCAAGGACAACTTATGTGATGAAGTTCCTCCTTTTATGTGATAAGAACAGCAGTCATTAGCTTGGGCAGCGGTTCATTCTGACAAGCTCTGCCTTTATCATAAATCTCACAGCTGATCTAAGAGGTAAATGTTACAGTTAGCGTCCATATTGTAATCAACACTCTGAAAGTAAGAGGCTAAATTACTTGCTGGTAAATGGCAGAGCTGGCATGAGCCACATATTTCTCACTGCGAATCTTCTTTCTACCAGTATTCTTTCTACCAGTCTGCATCTTTAGCCTTTTTCACAGCAATCTTTCTAGAAGGCACGGCTAGCTTTGGAGTTCTTGACACCTCAGTGAGTAGGCTGTGAGGGTGCTCCCGGGAGCTAAGCAGACATCGCCCTCTGCCCCTGCACTGGACTCACATGAGCTGCGTCTGTCCTTTACTTTTATCTTGAACTGTAGGCTGTCTACAGATCATTCAGTGTTCTCTTTGGTTGCAGTGAACTATAAAGTGTTTGCAAGTTTGTGAAGTGTGAATGCTGAGTTCTGAGTGAAGCTGTGGGTCTCACAGCTAAGCCCCGTGTGTGACCTTCGGAGGCTCCTCTCGGCGACATCTTGCTTGGCAGCTCAGAAAGCTTTTCTCTGTGTATATTCAAGATATTCAGATTTGTTAGTTAACTGATCTACAGATAAATGAGCTATTTATACTTTTTTTTTTTTAAGTGAATTTGGGCTTTAAGATCATGTGAGAAAGACTCATCTAATTCTCTTTTCCCTAATATGTTTTTCTTCGTTCATTTTGTGTAACAATCAGTAAGTACTGACCCAAAGGTTGGCGTATACAAATGAGAATTAGGAGATGTGCATCTCGCCGAGACACCACACAGACTCCCCGCCCGCCCATTCTGCCCACCTGACTTTCACACTAAGCACATCTGCATGTCTCCATTTCAGCTGATCAGTGATGGCAGTGTGGTCTGTGCAGAAGCTTTGTGGGACCACGTGACCATGGATGACCAGGAACTGGGCTTCAAGGCAGGAGATGTCATCCAGGTTCTGGAAGCCTCTAACAAGGACTGGTGGTGGGGCCGGAATGAGGAGAAGGAAGCCTGGTTCCCGGCAAGCTTTGTCAGGGTAGGTGTTGGCCCCCTCACACCTCACATCTGTCTCTGGGGAGCGGCAGGTAGAATGGTTCAGGCCAAACTCACTCTTTGTACAGATTCAGTTTTTTATAATCGTTTCAATCAAATCTAGAAATTCAACTGGGTCAAAGGAAAACTTTTAACCAAGGTAACTAACTAGTTGTTTGGCACTGCTGCTGTGTTTGAACCACTGGCGCCATACATAAGACAGGTGAGAGTCAGAAGCCATGGGGGGCCCCTGCCTGTGCCAGTGCCACCTCCCAACTCCCCGTCCCTGTGTGTGCACTGCAGTTGCGTGTCAACCAGGAAGAGCTGTCGGAGAATTCCAGCAGCACACAGGGCGAGGAGCAGCAGGAGGATGCCGGCAAGACCCGCCACAAACACGCTGAGAGCAAGCAGCAGATGCGGACCAACGTCATCCAGGAGATCATGAACACTGAGCGGGTGTACATCAAGCACCTCAAGGACATCTGTGAGGTAGGGCTCCAGACATGCGGCCTCACTGAGGTGGTCACATGACTATGATATGTCCGCCTGGCTCTCTTCTGTTCCCAGTCACACCCTCCTATGCACCTCTGGCTCCTGAACACACTGCTCACTCATTACATACGCGTCTACCTCGGTGAGCTTGAGTGGTGAGTGTCATGGCCACCTGCCCGGCTGTTGCAGCCAGTCTCTTTCGGGGCCCTGCACCACTGTCTCTGTCAGCACCGAACCCTGAGACTGTTCAGAGCGAGTACCTGTCAGAGAGGGCAACACCTGTCAGTGAACCCACTTAATTTGACAAAAATTCAAAGGTTTGGCATTGTACAGCCCACTGCCTCCATGTTGTCTCACAGGCGAGCTACTGAGTCATTTAGATGTAGAAAAACAAACAAAACACTAGAGATAGCCAAAGCTACATTCCACAGCATCATGATAGTTCTGCGTGATACATTTTATTCCTCCCGTGGCATTTTTTGTTTTATACCAGTCTGTCCTACAACGAGTGCTGACCTCTGCACTCTTAGTTTGGCTGGAACGTTCATCCCTGAAGACAAACTGAAGTGAGACAGCCGCACATCTGTAACTGGATTAACTGGCCAGATGCAGATACACCACTGTTTTGTTTGTGCCGCCCTGTTCAGTAGGGATACATGGCTAAAGGAGTTTCTTTAAAGGGACATTCTATGAAGATGAAAGTAATTGCTAATAATTGTTGAGCATTGACTCTGTGCCACCCCCTCTACCTGAGTTAACTCATTTTACTCTCACAGCACTCTCACTCGGTCTCAACCCGTGTACAGGTGAGGAAACGGGGGCGTGGAAAGGTTAAGAGGTGGGCTTGGGATTTAGACCAGGCAGTCTGCCCAGAGCCTGTTCCCTGAACCTTTACATTGACTTTCTGATAAAATTATTTCCAACTAGTCCGTGGTGGGATTTTACCATAGAGTCAGTCTAGCCTATAATTAATTTGGGAATAATTATTACATATATTTGTGGCCTTTCCTTCCTACCTCCCTAACTCCTTACCTAAGCTGTAGTACAAACAGGGTGCATAATTAGTAGTTTCTAACAAGTCTTACTGACTGTGAAATAGAATCAGCAATAGGAGAATGATTATCTTAAAAGTTTAGAAAAAAATATAACAAGGCCAATTTTTGAGCTTGTATTTGAAACCGAGCAACTTGTTTCATGAATATAATGTAGAAACTGTATAATGATAAATCCAGACACATACATCTTTTCTCTTTCCTTTTGTTTTTAAAACATGGCACATTTTAGTCATGGAAGTAGGATTCTCCTAACAGAGACCCATAGATGTTAAAGTAATTTCCTGTAATTAAAATATGCTCTAAGACAATGGCTTTGGATGCAAAATATTGTATTATTCAAAGAAATAATTTCTATGAATTTCCAAATTTCCAAAAGCGTATGTTCCCTTTTGCAGGGCTATATTCGACAGTGTCGCAAGCACACGGGAATGTTCACTGTTGCACAGCTAGCCACCATTTTTGGAAACATTGAAGATATTTATAAATTCCAAAGAAAGTTCCTGAAAGACCTTGAGAAACAGTACAATAAAGAGGAGCCTCATTTAAGTGAAATAGGATCCTGCTTTCTTCAACATGTACGTCACCTGCTACTTCTTTATTAATAACATCTGGTTAAATAATTTTGCAGCATTTCTTCATTAAAAATAGGAGTCCTTATCTCTCTCTCAAAAATAGGAGTCCTTTTTGTTTCTTTGTTTGCTAGATTAATGTCCCATAGAATGGAGATGTCACTTGTAAAGTAAGTTGATTAGTTTATGTGGTTAATCTTTAGCTAAATATACTAAGTCCATTTTTTAAAAATCTTCCCACTTTTATGCAGTTTGGTGTAATTTTTAATAAGACCTGTTAATTGTCTATTATATGTTAAGCACTGTTTTCAGGATCTCCTTGTATACCTTTACTGCTGTGAGGGAGGTATATTATTGTCCTCATTTTACATGAGGACTCTGAAGGCCATAGGGTAACTGACCCAGGGCCACACAGTAGTAAGTGGCAGGAGGGAAAACTGACTGAGGCCTGTGGCTCTGGGACTCAGGCTTATGACCAGTGTAAATGCTCAGGCCAGTCTTGAGATGATGGCACGAGCTGATCATATAACTGAGGATTGACTGCCACTATTTAATACCAAAAGATTTCAGAGAAGGAAAGTTATGTTCGCAGCCAAAATGGCCAGGGCCTAATAATAGTAATAACAACAGCAATGACAACGACCACCACCTCCTTGCAGCACAGGCTGGGTGCGGGGCCAGTAGCTTCTTAGAGGCAGTGATGTGGAGCAGGTACCAAGGTGGTTGCTTTCAAATAGCTGAAAATAATGCTGAGGTGGGAATGCACGTGGGAAGGTCCAGCCCATGAGAGCACTGGGCCTGTCTGGGACTTTGTAAAAGACCTGTTTGGCCAGAGCAGAAGGTCCATGGAGGTTAAGAGAAGCTTTTAGTCACCGAAGGGCAGGCTGCAGAGGCGGCAGTGCCCGAGCGGGACGAAGCCCCAGTGGGTGGGCCTCGCCTGGAGACAGGAGTGTTCAGCTGAGGAGCAGAGGGGTTGCTACTTCTGGGCCTGGGCAAGGTGATGGCAGTGGGAACACAGAGACAGGGAGTCTGTTCAACAATTCAGTATTTCCAGTTTAAAGGAAAAGTAAAGAGGACGAGGAGGGAGCTAGTTGGGCGTAAGAACAGCACCTTCTCTTAGATCAGAGCTGGGGTGAGGAGGGTGACAGTAGAGGGCGCTGTTCTCTGGGGAAGCCCAGTGCACCTATGGCTCACCCTTTCAGGGTCTGTGGGAGGCTACCTGGAAGGGACCAGGGCTCTGAGTCCTAGAGCAGTCTCTCCCTGCGCCCCCAAGAGATAAGAACCCTCTGGAGAGTTTGCGTATGGCCCCTTACCACAGAGAAGATTTGGGCTTCTTGCCCAGGTGGGAAAAACGCAGTAGAAGGACTTGGGGCACCCTCTCCCTCCTCCCAGGGATACCCCCTCACACAAGCTTGTCCTTGTCTCAGCCCACAGCCCCCAAAGCCTGATGATACTGTGCTTTCCCCTTCCCAGCAAGAGGGCTTCGCCATCTATTCCGAGTACTGTAACAACCACCCGGGGGCCTGCGCAGAGCTGTCCAGCCTGATGAAGCAGAGCAGGTACCGGCACTTCTTCGAGGCCTGCCGCCTGCTGCAGCAGATGATTGACATCGCCATTGACGGCTTCCTGCTCACACCCGTGCAGAAGATCTGCAAGTACCCCCTGCAGCTGGCTGAGCTGCTCAAGTACACCACGCAGGAGCACAGGTGAGAGAGGCCTTCAGCTCTCCCAGCTTCCCAGGATGGCAGTGACAGAGGGTTCGGGTGTCAGGCTTCTGTTACTTCTGAAATGGGTTTATGGAGGCTCCAGAATATCCATTCCTAAAGATATCAAAAAAATAGCCCTGTCTGGTGTGGCTTAGTCAGTCAGGCACCATCCCTTACACCAAAAGGTCACCAGTTCAATTCCCAGTCAGGCACATCCACAGGTTGCGGGCTAAGTCTCCAGTAGGGTGTGTGCAGGAGGTAGCTGATTGATGTTTCTCTCTTTTTCTCTGCCTCTCCCTTAATCTCTCTCTCTAAAATCAATAAAAAAAAATTTTTTTAAAAAAAGATATATATGGTTTTTGGTTAGAGCATCGAACCAGTATGTTAGGGTTGCAGGTTCAATCCTCAGTCAGGACACATACAAGAATCAACCAATGAAAGTATAAATAAGTAGAACAACAAATCGTTGTTTTTCTCTTTCTCTTTCTCCTTCCCTCTCCCTATTCCTCCCCACCTGCTTCCAATCTCTCTCTAAATCAGTTTTTAATAAAATAATATTTCTTCACTATATTCTGTGCACATGGGGATTTTTATTGTGTTGTTGGTCCTATCATTGGCATATATTTATAAATACTCATTGTAGCTACTCAGTCATTAATAAAGACAATTTTTAAAAAGAAATAGACAAGTTGAATACAGTGTAAGAAATATTTCTTTTCTCTCCTGTACTATAGCTGCTTCCCATTAACTCACCCTTAAAGCAGTGTTATTTACTGCCAACAAAATGTTATCTAGAGAAGGGGTGAGGACGTAGAAAAATTCGAGTTATAAAAAACAGAATCTCAAGGCCTAGGGGAGCGTGTGGGGTCCACTTGGGAGGCACATTTCACAGAGGTCCTCGTTGACTCTGGTCTGGAAAAGTAATCTAAATCCTAAAACCTTGCCTGCAATGGTGGTGTCCCCACTGGCATTTCAGTTCTGCCCTGGTGAGAACGTCATTGCTTATGTTTGACCAGAGTCATACCTGTCCGTGACACCTGTGTCACCGGCACAGCTTTCACTGCACCCGCAGCCTGGAGAGGACAGCCTGGAAGGATTTTAGAGGGAAGGGTCTGGGAGGGGGAGGGCTGGGTGGGGGGGGAGAGGATGGTGAGGAAATCTGCTGGAGCAAACACAACTGTTTTGGGTTTTAACAACTATTAATCGGAAGCAATCACATTCTCCAGGGCAGTGCCTGGCCTGCAGGGTGCCCAGAATAGATCATTCTTTGCCTGCTCTGCCACTGGTCACTGAACAGTTAATTCTAGATATGAGTATTTAAAGAGTTAGGACTACCAAACTAAGAGAAGGGAGTTTATTGAAAGAACTATGTATTTTCTCTTTTTGATGGAAAAGTTTGGAAAGAAAGTCATCAGAATTACAAATTTGAAGAAAATTTTTAAAAAGAATAAAAACTCATCATGATGAGAAACTAATAAATAAGAAGCAAAGACATATTGAAAGACCCAGGCAAGCAGATTAGATTCCAAGACGGGAAAGCTGTGGCCAGAAGTTCACACATCACCTTTTAGCAGTTAATGTTCACTGTAAGGAAATTGCAGATTTGGTCTGTGTGTGTATGTGTGTGTTTTTGTTTTGTTTGTTTTGTTTTTTTTAATCATTTGAAAGGAAATAACATAAAGCCCATTTCTTTGTCTCAAGAGAAACAAAACATTTTTTTTTTAATTACACTGCTTTTGGTTGTTTTTTTCTTCTTCTGGAATTGTATATATAAAATAAAATGAAAAGTTGCAGAAGAAAACAATTGTGCTGCTTTCTTCCTTCCTTGTTGGAGAGCTCTCTGGGCGCTGTGCTCCAGGATTTTGGCAGCCCCTTAAATCATTTATCTTCTTCTTCTGCTCTGTTGTGTGAATCACCTGTCTGAGACACAAGTTTGCCTTCTAGGCAGGTGGCCAGAAACTTCCTGGGAGCTGCATGTCCTTGTGTTTGGTAAATAAACAATAGGACCTGCTTCCAAGGCTTTTTTCTGGGCTTTGCAGGAGGATTCTCTCCTGCCCTGTAAGACGCATGAAAGTGCTAGAAAGTAAAAAAACTCAGCTCATCTACTGGACAATTGATTTACATATCCCCAAGTTATTCATGCTAAGCAAAACTTGGATGTGAGAGTTTCCAATAGCAGATATCTCTTAGCCTATGTGCGGATTAGAACTCCAGTTTTAGTTCTTTTATTACCTATTAGAGGCCCGATATTCATGCAAGAATAGGCCTTCCTTCCCCTGGCTTCACTCCCTGCTGCCCAGAAGCCGGCGAGTCCTCGCTTCTATCCAGAGCATACCACTTCTGTAGCTCTCTCTGTCACCCCCTTCCCCTCATAGCAGGCTTCCATCTTTGTTGGATTAATTTGCATATCCACTCTGGCTGTGGGTGTAGTGGAATGTTGCTTAATTTGCATGATTCTCTTTTATTAGGTAAGACAGTTTTAGAAGTCCTGGGAGCAGGAGCCTGCTGGGGCAGCATTTTAGTTTGATTTGACTGTAGCATATGGAAAGCACCAGAAATGAAGATCTGTTGATGAAGTAAATGCCGCATTGGCATTTACATGACTCATTAGGTGAACCTTCTGTGGCTGTGTCCTCTGGTGCCCTTTCCTGAACACCTTGAAAGATGGGACTCAGAGCAAATTATTACTCTTGAAAATGATTAGTGATTGTTAAAGTACTTTCTGTAGTCAACTTGCTATATCAGAACCAAAGCAATCACAGACTGCCCTTTATTTATTTATTTTTAATAATATATTTTTATTGATTTTGTACAGAGAGGAAGGGAGAGAGATAGAGAGTTAGAAACATCGATGAGAGAGAATCATAGATCAGCTGCCTCTTGCACACCCTCTACTGGGGATATGCCCGCAACCAAAGTACATGCCCTTGACCGGAATCGAACGCGGGATCTTTCAGTTCCCAAGCTGACGCTCTATCCATTGAGCCAAACCGGTTTCGGCCAGACTGCCCTTTATTAATGAAAATCATTCATTGTCACAGTGATAAAGACATTTCTTGTGGCATTTACTTTCATTCATGGTAATTTCTGGGAAATGAGGACAACATTCTTATTCCAAAGAATTCTGGATTGCGTTGGTCAGCTCCCTTAACCTCCGCAGACTATCGCCTATTCATGGAGGAATAAGAAAAAGGGAACAATGGCTGCTGTTTAAATGTCATGTTGTCTAGACTATTAATATACAAATTGGGAAAGGAGTGTATTATTTTGTTGAGTAGCCTGCCATATGGTTAAAATTCACCTCTTATTTTCAGTGATTACAATAATATAAAGGCAGCCTACGAGGCCATGAAGAACGTAGCCTGTTTGATCAATGAGCGCAAACGCAAGCTGGAGAGTATAGACAAGATAGCACGTTGGCAAGTATCCATCGTAGGCTGGGAGGTAAGTGGATACCACCCCTCACCCCACATCATGCATCACCACTCACCTCCTCCCCTACCTCTGGTCTAGTTTAATGACAGACTTTGATGTCCTATGATTGATGCTTTATACTCATGGCTTAATGGTGCACAGGGTTCCCTTGCTTTCCGGAATTAGCGTGTTCCTATGAAATGTTCAAATGCTAAAAAGGTGCAAAGCCAAAGACCAACACCTTAGGACACATCTTGCTAACAGATGCACAGAGGCCTGTCCGTGACTGGGTCCTGGCTCACAGCTTTCACTGCACAGATGCTCACAGATGCAGCTGGGTTCTTGCGCCGGACTTGAGATGTGGGGTGTGGTTTCCGGGAAGGAGCTTCCTGGGGCCAAGCTTGACACTTGACACTCCAGTGCCACTGCCTCTGTAATGGCTCCCTGCAAAGCCAACACTGAACACTTATCGCTTCTCTCCTTTTTTGGAAAAAATGAAAATTCTCTTTGGATTTCTTTCCATTAGCAAAAACAGGTACTAATGTAGGTCTTTAGTAAAAGTACAGTAGTATAAAGAGAGCTTTCAAAAAGCAGGGGATACCTGTATATATTTTGAGGCAAATGATTGACTTGAAGTCAACTACTTTACCTTTTACTTCCACCAAGAAACACTTGGAGAAGTGTCTGTAATTAATGTATTGCCTGCTCTCCTGCTAGAGTGTGAGATTCATGAAGCAGCTGGAGAAGATTTAAAATATAAATTGCAGTTGGTGAGAGTATGGACTATGCAGCCACCCTGCCTGTGTGTGAATACCCTGTGACCTGGGCATGATCACTGTTCTCATCTAGGAGATAGAGAGGAAAATATTCCCTATCTCGTAGGTCTATTGTGAGACATATATAAGAGAAAGAAAATGCAATTTCCTTATACAGCCTGTAATAATAGTCCAGCATGCATGCACGTGTGCACGCGCGCACACACACACACACTTATTTCTAAAAACAGGAATGATGACAATAATAAGTAGCTGTGTTGTGTTTACCACATGCCTAGCAATGGTTTAAGCCATTTTCATGTATGAACTCATTTTAATCATCTCAACAGTCCGATGAGGTAGGAAATATCACACCCATTTAACATATGGGGAAGCTAAAGCACATAACAGTTAAGTGGCCTGTCATACCCACAGGGTTAGAAAGTGGCCAAACTGGATTCAAACCCAGGCCGGCAGCCTGTCGTTAGAGTCCATGCTGCTAACCACTAGGCTCTATGGCCATTCTTAAGAATGATAAATTGGTGCTGTTCATATAGTTTTTAGAACATGCGAGATTCATCCTACATCAAACTAATAGGTAAAGCTCACTTTCCCCAAGGCTTGTGAAAGTTTGGGCTGAGAAGTTCGGTTTTCAACTAAAGTAGATAATAGTGATTTCCTATCTATAGGAAAGAAATACTATAGTACTTGTATTTCAAGGCCTTACAGACTTCTGGAACCTAGACAGGCCCTCAGGGATCACTAGTCTAACTCTTATTTTGTAAGTGAAGATTCTAGGGCACAGAATTGCTTGAGGCAGGTAAATAGAAGAGGTACTTTGGAGTCAAGAGCTTTTACCTACAAAAAATGTTGTCTATGACTGAGATTAAAGGAGAATAAAATCTTCAATTTGTAAAATTTAAAGCCAGTGTCATGCCATATATCATAAAGTTCCATTGAATTAGACCCAAATCTAAATATGATAAAAGTGTGGTTTTCCTTCCGTTCTTGGACTCTGACACTGAGGAGATTATTTATTGTCAGAAGTTTACTAGTTATCTTGCTGCTGATTTGCCACGTGGCCTTTTGTTTCCAAAGATCCTAAACGTGTTAGTCCAGGCAGCTGCCATAGGCCTGACTAAAGCCAGAGCATCTGCAGTCTGTCCCTCTGTGGTTGTTCTCCAAGGATCGGCCTTGGTCAGCTGCCATATCTGACCTTGATCAGATTCGTTAGCCCAGCAGGCTCTCCACTGCTCTTTCTGATAAGGAAGACACCTCAGATAACAGAGGCCCTGTAACATTTTCCCATTTAGTAGGGGGAAAAAAACACAAAACCCTTAACACGAAAGAAGACTAATAAACCAAGGTTTCAGATAGCCTCTGAGGCTTGGCTGCCTGTGAATGGGCCTCAGGCACCTGGCAGATCTGGGGAGGCTTCTGGGCCAGGGCTCAGGGCTCCGGCACCTGGAGGTAAGAATTGGAAGGTCTCACAGTGTGTTTTCATCCTCCAGGGACAGGACATTTTAGACCGAAGTTCCGAACTGATCCATTCTGGGGAGCTGACCAGAATCACTAAGCAAGGCAAGAGCCAGCAGCGGACATTCTTTCTGTTTGACCACCAGCTCGTGTCCTGCAAGAAGGACCTGCTGCGCAGGGACATGCTCTATTACAGGGGCCGCACGGACATGGATGACATGGAGCTCGTGGACCTAGAGGATGGGCGGGACAAGGACTGGAACCTCAGCGTGAAAAACGCCTTCAAGCTCGTCAGCAAAACCACTGACGAGGCTCATCTGTTCTGTGCCAAGAAACAGGAAGACAAGGCCAGGTGGCTGCAGGCGTGGGCGGATGAACGGAGACGGGTGCAGGAGGACCGGGAAATGGGTGAGCCGCGCTCAGAGCCACCGGCTTTCGTTGGCCTCTGCTTTCTAACCTCATCCCCCAGCCTCTCCCACCTTTGGGAAAAGAAAAGGATTTTCAGATTCTAAACATTTCTAAACTTGCTCACAAAACAGGCTGTGGCAGATGTAATTACTACATGTAACATTTACGTGCCAGATGCTCTGCTACACATTTACAGAGAGCATCTCATTTAGTTTCAAAACGTGGATACTGTTGCTGTACACATTTTACAAATGAAAAAAATCAAGGTTCAAGGCCCTGCACTGCAGTGAAGGCCATGCCTCTCCATACTCTGTCTTCTTCCCAGCTGCTGCTCCCCTCCAGGCGTTCACTGGCCTATGGGACACACCCTCCCGCCTGGTGTTTATGGCGGGGCACAGTCTCAGCCGGGCTCCGATGCCTCCCTGGCACATTAGGGTTTTAAGCACAAACTGCTGAAGGGAAGTCAGGTTGCCACAGAGACCATGGGCCCTGGATCCTCCTCTCTGCAGCCTTCCTGGGCCCGGACCCCCAGGCTGTGGTACAGGATGGAGAAGGTCCTGCCCCTCGTCTTCCCTGCCCTCTGCCATGAGGAAAGCCAGGACAAAACCAGCAGGTGCTCCATTGACGCCCATGGTGTGTGTCACCAGCACTGGCTCAGGTTGGGCCACAAATGTTGCTCTCACCAGAGGAGGTTTCGTGGGCTGGATCATATACTACTATTAGAGTAGAAAGGGCTTTACAACTCAGCCAGGCTGACTCACCAACAGCTGGAATCTCCTCTGAAACACTCCTAATAACTGAGCACTGGTCTGTACCTCGGCCTCTAATGACCCAGAGCTCACTGCTGTAAGTGGCCCCTTCCGCAAAGTGGAAGTACCCTGTATTTATTCTGAGAGGAAAGCTGATCCCAAGCCAATTCCATGTATTGGTGCAGCTTTTGACTCTCAGGCCTCATTGGAATAGGCTCATCACTCCATCATGCCGAGGATTCTTCAGATAGTTGAAGGCCACATATATTCAAATGCAAAATGAGAGAGCCACAAATCTTACCTGCTATGTCATGTTGTGTAGTGCAGACCCTGAAATCATAAGTTGGAGTGTTTTGGTTTTTCCTCAGATTGAACCACATATTACTTCTCAGTTCAGCACTTCTCTATTGCTGGTGCTCGAAAGAAAGACAGGAATGAATGAATGAATTAATTAATTAATACAGGAATGAAGGGATGCATGCACGTGGCATTCCTAGAACCATTAAATCTGTGATATGGATGAGAGTGGACAAAAATGGGACTGACCCAGAACCTTGCCTGGCATATTCTGTCAGCCTACGTGCCAAGTACATTGTGTGTAGGTTGGTCCTAGAGATCATGGAGGTGAGAGTAAGGCAAGGCCAGAGAAGGCCTCAGAGCAGTAGAAGTCAGGAGGCCAGTGTGTGGAGCCTGAAGGAGGCCTCAGGACTCATGAGGGACAGATGTTGAGCATGTTGAGGAGTCAAGGCATAGAGAGTAGAGTGACCCCAGGCAGCTGAGCGCAGAGCCCAGGTCCCCTTCCACCAGGTGGAGGCCTCCCCCAGTCCAGCAGTTGTGCCTCCTCTGCCTCTGTCCTTGCCTCTCTTCTCATGCTCTGTACAGTTGGGGTACAAAATTCAGTTCCCATTACTCAGATACCTTTGTTTAGGAGACAGTCAAAACTCACTCGGCTTTCACAGTGAGTGAGCAGACCTGCGGCCCTTTGATTTGTCCTTCCTCCCAGAGCCTTATTCTTTAGGGAGAGAACAGGGGGACTGTACGTGACACATCTGGGTTTGCACAGGGGTCTTTGCATCCTTCCCATCAGCCCTTTCCAGCCTTTCCGGTGTCCTAGCGACAGTCCTGGTGCCTTTCTTCTCTTACCCAGTCTTTTGACCTCTTCTAGTTCCTCAAGGACTAAGGTTCCTTGCTTGAGGTTATGGTGAATATCTCGGGATAATATGGGTTATGGGTTATGGGTTATAGAGTTTTAATCTAAAATGTTTTCACTTGTTTTGAATACATGTTACACCTTTGTTTCTAAATACAGGAATGGAAATTTCCGAAAATCAGAAGAAACTTGCCATGTTAAATGCTCAAAAGACAGGACATGGAAAGTCAAAAGGTAAGTTCTGCAGAAGCCTCAATCCCTCTAATGTAGGGGTGTCGAACTCAATCAGAGAAGGGGCCAAAATCTAAAATCCAGCCTAAATCGAGGGCCGAACAGTCATAAACTGTCATTGTGATGGAAACGCAGCGGAGTGCAGTGATGACAGCGCGGTGCGGGCCACATTGCAAGGCCTGGCGGGACGGATTTGGCCCGCGGGCCTTGTGTTTGACACATGTGCTCTAATGTGTTTCAGCATTGGAATTAAAATTGGGGAAGGCTCAAAGTTAGCACATGACCGACTCTGAATGAACGAGAAGAGTGCGGATCAAACTCTAAATTATAGATCCAAAATAGCAGACGGTTTTACCATAATGAGCATTTGGTTTGAATGTACTAGTACTTCTGTTTTTTGCATATGAGTTTATAAAAGGTCTATTGAATTGGTAGCCAAGAGCTTCCAGACTTCCCTCTGCTGCCCACAACCCCTCTGGATCCCCCACTGAGGGGTGATGTGTTGGCCAGGTCAGCGTTCTGAGTCTGAGGCAGGTCAGCCACTCTTGTATCTTTGGGGCATGTGAGGAGGAGTCTCCAACCCCGACTGTGTGTCCCTGCAAGCTACATTTTTAGTTCAAGTAAGAAGAAAGATCTGAAAGTCCAGTACATCATGCAATGAGCTTAAGGAAAAAGAAGACAGAGTAGCTTGTTTAGAGCTTTTATTCTCTACCCTGCAAGCACCTCAGAATGACTGGGCAGCTGTTTAAAAATACCAGAGGCCCAGGTCACTCACACACACACCCACCCCCCACCTACACACACACACCCACACACCCAGCTTCCAATGTGCAGGCAGAGTTTCCTCAAGTAGGTAATATTAATATTCTAGCCCAACAGAAACATTGAACATCTTTATTCCAAAAATGTTATCTACACTAATAAAAGAGAAAGATGCAAATTGACCCTCACTTCACAACAGCCACCAGCCAACCAGGAGTTGATATGCAAATTAACCCAACAAAGTGGTGGGTTAATTTGCATACACAGGCACCAAGCAGCTGGGGGTGGGGCGGCCATTGTGCATGTGTGGCACCAAGCAGCCTGAGTCCCAGGGATGGGTGTCCTCAGGACGCAGGCCATTCTGAGCCTATAGGACTGCGTATAGGCCACTTGCAGGCGCCGAGTGTCCAGGGATGGGGTGAGAACAAGCAGCCGGGGGTGGGGTGGGAATGTCTGCCATAGCAAGTGAGCAGACAGCAGACTGCTGGGGACTGCTTGCCCCTCGCCATGGTGGTGAGAGACAAACAGTCCCCTGCAGCAAGTGGTCATGTCAGCGAGGGGCAAGCAGGGCCCCCACAGAGAGCAGACACCAGGGCCTGAAGTGGCGTCAAGCAGGCAGGTCTGCAGAGAGTAGAGAACCACAGAGAGAAGGCCTAAGGCATCAGTAGGACATTCCCTGAGGGCTCCCATATTGGGGAGGGTACAGATGGGGCTGAGGGACACCCCCACCATGCATGAATTTCATGCACCAAGCCCCTAGGATTTTATAAACTACTTAATTCAGATGGACTCTAAGAGGGATTACCCTATGACATTTATCCTACTCAGTATTTTCCTAACTGAAAATGCAAAAAGAAGGATCATTTCAGCCTAGGACTGTGATAAGCCATCAACTGCTGCACCAAGACAAATTCATTACCAAAATAACTCTCAACATTTTCCTGCTCCCACCACTCAAATGCAGAATTTCCCTCCTATGTATAAACATGTTCAAGGCAGAAAATCTCACCGTATTTTTTTTTTTACATCTTCACTTTAATATCAAGTGACAAATAAATATCAATTTATTAGAACTTATTCATTTCTTTATCTTCCAAGAGACACTAGCTTAGCAGTGAGGCCCCCGAAAATGCAACTGATGGTCACCTGGCAGGTACTTTTCATGCGCTACCTCACTTCATCCTCCCTGTCATCCTGGCAGATATGGAAAGAAAGCCTATGGCATTCAGAGGCAGGGATGGATTCTGAACTGGGGTCCTGGCTCCTTCCAAAACCCACGCTCTGCCCTCTTATCGTGCTGACTTGCACAGTTACAGTGTGGTCTTAATAGCTAATTTTAATACGTCTTTTTAATGACCTCTGCACAAATTTAAAATACCAACTTTAATAAAGCAGTTTTGATTAAACTGATGAGGTATCCGGATCACTATCTAGGCACATTACTTACATTGACTGGTTTACTTCTCATACCCCAGAAGGCACTGGTATCCCTGCTTTAGATTTAGGGAACTGAGGCACAGGAAAGTCAGCTGATTTCCCAAATAGTTACAGCTCGTAAGTGATAGAGTAGGCGCTGGGCCGAGCAGTACGTTATTGCCTATCATCCCAAGTAACAGTCTAGTTCTAATCTTTCCACTTACTGCTGTGTGACTGTAGCTTCACATAACCTCTCAGTCACATTCCTATAATGGTACCTTCCTGGGAGGATTTTCGTGAGAATTCAGTGAGATAAACTATGTCCCGTCTCCACACACAGCATGGGCTAAATGTGTTACTCTAGCTGTCAGATATACTTTCAGTGAATGTGAATTGAGAATCGGCTAAGAACTTCAAGTCTTGGCACTTTTTGTTGTTGTTGTTGTTAATAAGTGACTCTCGTTCCATGTGTCGTCCTCCTCCTCTCTTGCATCAGGCTATAATGGATGCCCCGCGCCCCCCCCACACCAGAGCTTGCACCCCATGCACCAGCGCCACGTCACGGTGCCCACCAGCGTCCCGCAGCAGCAGGTGTTTGCCCTGGCAGAACCCAAGCGGAAGCCGTCGCCGTTCTGGCACACCTTCACCAAACTCACCCCTTTCAAGAAATGAGCGCGGGAGCCGCACGTCGGCTGGCTGTGGCCGCGAAGAGGACCATTCTGTTCTTCTGTGCTCGGTCCAAGGGCAGCCTGCTGGACCCAGCGCTCTTTTTTGGGGCTGAATAAAGAAGAGAAGGACCTGGACTCGCCTTCCGGCTCAGAGACACAGCTGCTGCGTGGAAGGCGGAGAAGGTGAGGAAGCTCCCCGGGACCCAGCGGCTTCTGTGACTTGTGCCGAGGTGGCCCGGACTGAGGAACTGGCGACGTGCTCTGAAGCGAGTGCTGAGCAGTGACGCTGCCAGCCCCGCTGGTGACGAGTGCCCGTGCGGCAGCCTAGGTCCAGGTGCTGCCAGGACAGGATGGCTGGGCGCTTTTGCATTCGGGTTGAAGGGAATGGTCGTCCTGGTTGGGGCGGCACTGGCCCGGTAATCTGTTCCTCTCTTCCTTAGTGTTAGGGGACTTAGAGCAGAAGTGTCCCCTGGTGTCATCTGAGCCCACACCGTGGCCACATGGTAATTAGCAGCTTCATCTTGTAGGCTCCTCCCACACAGGCTGGTGGGGAACGCAGGCTGGGCCTGTCTGGAAGCAGGGAGACCTCCAGTGCAGTAACTTCGCCTCCTAGGGGGAGGCTGCTTCCAGGGAGGGAGGAGGGAGGCGGGAAATCCTGTGGCAGGCTAGATGGCACTAGACAGATCCTTCTCTAGTCAGGCACTCTCCCACCACCCTGGTAACTCCAGGAGCAGAGCCTGGTCTGCTGGTTCCTAACCTAAAAACTATTCAAACACAGCCGTTTGCAATATAAAAACCCATTCACTTCAGTTTCAGGATAAAGTGAATATGCAAATGCACTGATTGAAAGGCATTCTCATTCAATCAGTTGTTCCTGGCGCCTTCACCAATGAAGTTATAATGACATTGACATCCCCTGAGAAGCTTGAGCTTCAAAGCAGCCCATCAGCTCCATGAGGAGCCCACTTGGTTACATTAATCCAAACAGCATGCCAACCATGCCATTATTAGCATGTCAGCGGTTCCTGAAGGTTCAAAAGAGGCTGGAGCAGAATATATCTAGACGCAGAGATAGCAGCCTTCCTTTAAGGAGAGCCACATGGCAACAGTTTTCTCCTAGTCTTTGTTTATATTGTAAATTTTGATGAAAAAAGAGCTTTAGAATGTGTCTGGAGAAGACAGGCTCTGCGATGCCATTGTAATTTACTTCGTGCACTGGATGGGCGGGAGGGTATTGTATGACTCAATTTGTGTTTTTCTATTTGAAAATCTCCATTTTGTATGCTACTCTTGGAACGTTTGTTTTTCTACTAGGCCCATGCTTAAGAATAAACAAACCTGTACTGTCGATCACAGAGGCGTAGTCTGAGTCTCTGGGAGTGTGTATCCCTCCCCCCCCCTCCCCCATACACACACACCCACACACCCAGAGCTCTTCCCGAAGGAGATGATGACCTGCAACAAGAAGAGGCAATCTTGGACCTCTCTGTGAGGCTTAGAGCAGCATTATGTGATGGTCAGGAAATCTTACCGGGCTTTTTTTTGTTTTCTTTTAATCTTTTATGAGCTGTTTTATTTATTTTATTTTTTTCATTTTTAAAAAAATCTTTATTGTTGAAAGTATTACATATGTCCCCTTTTAGGCCTTCACCACCCTATTGTCTGTGCCCATGGGTTATGCATATCTGCATGCAAGGTCTTTGGTTGATCTCTTTCCACCCCCACACCCTCCCCCGCCTTCCCTCTGAGATTCCACTGTTGTTTCTGTGCTTCTCTGTCTGGATCTGTTTTGTTGATCAGTTTATTTTGTTCATTTTTCCACATATGAGTGAGATCATGTGATACTTATCTTTCTCTGACTGGCTTATTTCACTTAGTATACATTTACACAATGGAATACTAGGCAGCTGGAAAAAAAGAAAGAACTCTTACTATTTGCAACAGCATGGAAGGGCCTGGAGAGCCTTAGTATGCTAAGCAAACTCTGACCTGTTCTTGAGCCTGCTGTGCACCGCCATGTGCTCAGTTCCAGGCAGTATTGCCGGAAGGTGGTGCTGCCCTCGGGCTACTCCGTGGACCTTCATGGGGGGTGTCCCAGGAGAGAGGCTGCATTTGAGGAAGCTTCTCAGGAGGTGCTGTGACTGCGTGCACGAGCGTGTGCCTGCATGTGTGCTTCGTTTTTGAATACACATCTCAATTTTAGTTGTGTTTGTATAGCTGACATTTTTATTAACAAAAATTATATATTTATAAACTAAACTAAATATGCTTTTCCTTAGGGAATAACTATAGGGGTCTCTGTGCTAAAAGAGTTGTTCATATACACAGCAATTTTAAATGGCTGGCTATGGTATGTGTGTGTTTTATAATAATAGAGAATTACATTAAAGTAGCAAAGAGAATTATTTGCTTAGGTTATATTTTCAGTAAGGATTCAGCAAGTAAAGAACCACTCAGAGGGCTTCCATTTACTAATATTTATTAATGATCAATGAAGAAATGCTTTAAGTTCTGTGACGAGTCCTGGTTTGTTTCCCAGCTGAGTCCTAGCTCTGGTCCCACCTCCCACCTGGCCTCCTAACAGGAGCAGGAGGCGTGGGCACCAGGATGCGGCCCTCAGCCCTGTCAGCTTTGTACCCGTGAGAAGCATCTGATCAATACCTGTTCTGGTAGATCCTGGTGATTTTGAAAACTGCTAACGTAGATTTTAAATGTTAGAATTGAAATTTGTATGTCCAATTTCAGTTGTTTTATCAAATGCCTGAGTTCTATAAAGAATAGGTGGCTCAAGTATTCTAATTTTGGTTTGCCAAACTTCCTTCTTGTTCTACTCAGAAAATAGAGAAAAAGCTAAGAGCCTTCTATACAGAGTGTGTATGAATTTCATTGGGAATTTCACTCTCTCTGTCTTTCTCTCTTTTTAACCCTACATTGCATAATACGGTGAAAACTCTTACTCCTCCCTCCCCCCCAAAAAAAGAAAAGATGATAGAGAATTCTGATGAATTTTACTTTTACTCATATTTCAGAATTTGCCAACTCTGTTGAAAGATAGTTGGGTGAAGAGCAACCTTCTCGATGTTGATCATGCCTAAAACTAGGACAGCCCTGTGGTAGCTGTAAGGACTTGAAGTAGAATTTTTGTAAAGCCCTGGAGAAGCAGCATTCTTTGTCTTTGGCCTGCAAACTGGAGGAGGAGTGGCAGCAGCTGGCCAGCGGGTAGACAGAACCATCTGCACAGTTTGTTTTCGGGAGCTCTGATCTTTTCACCTGGTAGATCTGATTTTGTAGTTGGAGACATTTCACTTCCATCTCCCTGCTAGTTCTGAATATTGTTGTGTCTTTGCAAACCTGATCTAGAGGAAGATTAACGCCATGCCTATCCTTTTGTAAAATCTTTTGTAAAAGCCCTGTGACGTAGTATTTTACCAGTTGGAAATCTTTTATGTGCCCAAATTGCTGATATTCCTCAATAAAAATCAACTTACTTAAAATCAGCTTGATTACCTGGGGCTCGGGCGGGGGTGGGGTGGTGGCGATTGTTGAGGAGAGAAACAGATGTGTTCCTCCCAGGCCAGGGCCAGCAGCGTGAATAAATGTCCTTCTAAGGCTACAGGACACAAACCAGCAAGGTCTGACGGCACAGAAACAGCCATCCCTGTGGTAAGCGTTACCTACAGCTTGTTCTCCCGGTCAGACTCACCTGCCAATGTTTCCCTCAGGGTGGATGTGGTAGAAGTGGGATTCCAAAGATTTTTGGGGAGTGGAGGGGGGGAAATAAGTAAAAACTATCTGATCTTGAAAAACCAAAAAGTTTAAATATTTGATGCAGACATACTGAGCTACAACACATGTAACTATATTGTCTTTACTTATTCCATAGGTTCCAACATTTGTATTTAGAAAAATATTTGAGTTGATTCTGTGATTTCATAATTGGTCATTTTTCTAAGTGTCAGCATTGTTCGTGTTTGACTTACCTACTTTGCAAAGCTTTGGGTAACCTTTTCATGTTAACTCATCAATGTCAAGATGACATTACCTGTATAAGTTGTGACGGCTTCCGAACTGATGACTTGGCTGTTGACAGCTGAAAAATGTACAGGTTGCTGTAACTTGATATGTATTTTTGTAGAATGAAGTTTTTGTAAGAAAAGAAAAAATTATTTACAATGTTATTTGAATGATTTCTTGTAAATGCTGTGAATCTATATTTGTTTTTTGTATCTGTATATTAAACTTAATTTGCCAAACTGGTTCTAGCAATGCATTTCCATGTTAGAATAGCATATATATATATATATATATATATATATATATATATATATATATGTATGTATTTTTTTTTGTTTTAATGGAGAGAGTGTGTCAGTAGGGTCTATGGGATTCATAGCTCATTTCCTGCCTGGACATTGATAGACTTCTTTTCAGTAATAACTTGTCCACCAATGAGCTGGCTCAGACCATGGACAGCTATGAGAAAGAAGCTCTGAAGAGAAGCAAATAGGGGCCACTTGAATGGAAACGTCACTGAATGCTGGAATGGGATTGATAAAGCCAACACCCAAAATGAGAAGTCCTGTTTTGAAGTGGCAGCTTTTGCACAGACGGTGGAAAGTGGATGAACAGAATGTGTTCCCCTTGCATTTCCCTGCTGCTGGCCGAGGAATAGGCAGCCCCTTCCCCAGGAGATCTGCCGGTGCCCTGGGCTGGCCTGCCCTCTGGGGTGGGGTACATGATTTCCTCTAATTTACCGCACAGAAGAGGAGTAAATAGCCCATTGTTTGCCGTGACTGTAATCAGAAAAGGATTCCTATAAAGGTTGCCAGGCAGCCAGTTCCCACTTTTTGTTTGTTTACTCTAATAACCGCCTACTTCCCAAACTGGTTTCCCTCCTGGAGCTGGGCAGAAAGAGGGGGGCTAACTGGAGGGGGGTGGGGGAAAGGCTGGGACAGGGGAGAGTGAAAGCACCAGGAACCGAGTCTGCCTCTAAAGGCTGGCTCCCAGGGACTCAGGCTGTTACCATAGGCAGGAGTGAAAATGGAGGGCTGTGGCCATTTCCTCTGAAGAGTCCGGGAGAGGTGGCCTGAGCCACCTGCCCTGTGCCCGGGAAAGACCACCAGAATGTGTGAATCCTCCAGAGGTGCTTATGGTCAAAGGGAAGGCAAACAAGGTACCATTACAACTGAGCGAGCTGTGCCCCAGCAGGAGTGTGTGCATGCTGCGAAAGGCCTTCAGGACGGGGTCCCTAACTGGCGGCGGGAGGAAGGCAGCTCACAGGAAGCCAGGGCACCACAGGGCGGGAGGTTTGCTGGCCAGTGTGCTGTGAGTTGTGAGACCCCAGTGTTGGAAGCTGGGATTTCACTCTGTAAGCACAGGCTGTAGGGAAGGGATGTTGTGGCAGATCTGCTGAGGAGCTCACTCCAGTGGCAGAGAAAAGGGTGGATTGGAAAGCAGAGGCAGGGAGGTGATTTAGGACAGCAGTCACCAACCTTTCAGACCTCTGGACCACCAGTTGGAGACAGCTGATTTAGGGAGACAGTGTCCAGTGAAGATGCTACAGGATAGGAAGGGCTGGGTGTGAAGGATGCTCAGTGGTAACCATAGATCTCAATTGGCTCCAGATGTTGGGAGAAAGATAATTTCCAAGTTCTGCCTTGGGGTGACCAGTGGGTGCTAGTGCCATAAACAGATATAGAAAATACAGCATGCAGGGGAGGTGGGGGGGAGGGCAGGACTTCCGTGTTTGGATTTGAGTCAGGACTGTCCTGTGGGTAGTGAGATGAACAGAGGGAAGCCCAGAAGGGAAGTCAGGGCTGGTGATGGAGACTGGACTAGTCACCTCCAACCATGAGTTAAACTGTGGGAGTGGATCTGAGCCAGACAGTGGTCAGCAGGAAGAATGCACAGGCCTAGGAAGAGAAGGGGAAGAGGCCTGGTGTAGGTGTTTCTCTCTTCCCACATCCAGCACGGAAAAAGAGCAGGTCTAGTTCCTGAGTAAGGAGCTGGGGATTGAGAAATAAAAGAAAGAGATAAAACATGAAGATAGAAGGAAAGAGCTAGGAGCCGGGTGGGACCACTGTCCTCTCTGATGGAGGGACGGGGACCCAGAGCCGATGTAGCATGTTTGTTTATATTCCAAATACCAGGGGGTTTCACTGAAAACTTAGAATCAAAGGAGCTTGGATGGGCTCAGGTCCTATCCATTCTCTCATTCCTGTGCTAGACTGGATTTACATATCAAAGCACACTATCTGACACCTGGGCTGAAATGAAGGCCAAGCTGATAACACTTCTGCCTTTTTGGCAAAGCTGTTCCCAGGGCGTGGTGACAATAATTTAAAGAATACCCATGTGCTTTCCCAGGGCGCCCTCTACAGCCTGGCATGGAGAAGTGGGGTGAAGGAGGGACAGTGAAAGCAGAGGGGGCAGGAATGGTCAGCAGGCCAAAGCTGCTATTGCTCCCACTGAGAAAGGACTACAGGTACCTGGGTGGATTCAGGGATTAAGAGGGCAAGGCAGCTCCTATGTGGAGGAGAAGCCGGCTGCATTTACTGACCTAGTTAATGCCGGCCACTGCCCTGGCACTTTGGCA